CAAAGCATCTTTTTGAAATACAAACCGATAATAAATGAATAAACAATATGGGAAGGTCAGATGCTTGTTTAATAATCGAATTTGGAATGTCGTCCGTTCCTGAGTAGTGTGTGTTTTTTCAAACGACTTATGTGTTTCTTAATGAGATCTGAGGAGACAGCGATTGTATTCTGTGTCCTATCTGAAAGTGTGCGAAAGACAGGGACTGGTTCGGACTCAGTATTAAGGTGTTTATTAAAGAAAGCACATAACAACACCGCCTTGTCAATGTCATCGATGAGGAGGGCGTTGTCATCAGTTAGCAGTGGTGGTAGTTCGTGACCACGCTTAGAGGAGGATCGATGACGGAAAATGTTAGCGGCTGATTTGCCAGGGTTAAAATCCCAGAGGACAAGTGAGTCTCTTGCCTGTCGCTCGCTTAGCGCATCCTTGAGGCCATTTCAAAAATCTCTGCGATTTTAAGATGAGTGGATAAGGAACTAGTGGATAGGTCACGCCGGTGCCGTCTCAGCTTTTTGTCTGTTGTGAAAAAAAAGGGAAACAAGAGAATCTGAAGAATAAGGCTTAAGATATCTATGCGGCACAAACTCTAGGATGTCCTTGGAAACATTGGACATGACATCACGAAAAAAGGTCGCATCGTTACAGGAGAGGAGGTCACACCAATCCAATGATCCAATATAGTTGTTTATGAAGTCGTTATCTACGCAATCGTAGTCTAGGTAAGTCTGAACCGTGCTGGTGTATTCTGAAAAGACAAGCGGTTTGCAACAATAACTTAATACGTGGTCAGTATCAAGGAGGTCCTTGTTGAAAGAAACAAAAAGAGGGGCAATGTCATTAGTAAAGACTAGATCTAAAATGTACTTATCTCTTGTTGAATAGCGCACCAGTTGAGACCAGTTAGAAACATTGACAATATCATTAAAGAGCTGGAATCTAGGTGGACAGATATTAGAAACCCAGTCTATTTAGGGATATCGAAGAAAGTTCTCAAAAGTCGTGCAGGCAACTGCGGAAGGCTATTCCTGACAGATTACTGGCTACTAATAATGGGCAAGAAAATGTTGGAACGCTTTGACAAAGGGATCCCGCATACGCAATGATCTGCCTTCAAGGCAGTAGATCAAAAACAATTTGAAAACCCAACTTTTTAAATTCAAAGAAATATCCGATATTCTAAAAACCCTTTCGGTTACACCCTGTTGCATATCACTTTCGTTAAAAAACGATTTCCATGTGCGTTGTTTTCTACTTGGGGGAACCTTTAAGTTTACTTTACTCTCCTTTCCATGAAAAACACGTAGGGCTGAGGAAACTTAGTCCAGGACAGCTTTTGCAAACATCGTGACGGATAAAATTATTTGTTAATGATTTTTGCATGCTAAGAGGACGTGGACAAAATTGGTTGCCTTGGTGTCTGTCATAGTGTCTTTATGACTTGTGTCGCTTACTGTACACGCGAAACGAATGTAATCCAAAGCTGGTTAATCGTGCGATATAATTGTACACTTCTCCCCACCCCTTTCTCGTGGTTACATTCTCATGCGATATTAGCATCCTACTCGAATTTATAAATGATGGAGCACTGTATGCTTAAAAGGTAAGTCCTTTGTTAAGCGTGTTACGCCGACTTCACCCGTGTGGTGTGTCAGTCCGCCATCAATTGGTTAATTTGAAATGTTACCGACAGAGACTGAGGAAAACCGGAATGGTTATTTTCGGTTTAGTTACCGCCATCATCTTAGGAGTATTCAAAACAATTTCATAGATGGTGAAATTAAAAAAGTAGGCTAATTAAGTATGCGGATGTAAACACATTGAAATGGTATTTATATGGAAATATATTATATAAAACATCAAGCGTGATTTTTTCCAAAAATCATTAACATCATAGCAGTATAATTGATTAAGTTGAAGGAAGCATTTTATTCTAAAGATATGGCGGTTTAAAATATCCGTTTAATGAGACTTATACGGTCTTTGTTCAATTAAGCACATTCTTGTGCGGGATGTACAGTTATATTGTATCTAGATTCTCAAAGCCTTGTCCAAAACACTTTTCCAAATAGGAAGTAAAAATTAAATTTACCATTGGGTCTGGCCTATAACCAACCAAAAGAGACATTATAGTGCTGCAGTTCAGCCAGCATAGGATCTTCCTGGAAGGATCGCGTACATTTAACTAAATTTCGTCTGGTGTACAAAGTTAGTTTGGAAACAGGCAATTGGCCAACCATTAAAATTTTATAGCTTGCGAGTTGTAAGGTAAACCGTCAAAGAATTCCGGGCGAATTCAGTAGATGTCTGCGACACAGATAATATTAGTATCAGACCGCGATTTTGAAATTGCGATTCGGGCGCACTATAGACGGACATGTCTGCTTATCTGCACTTCCTACATTAATTGAGAAAATATGATAAATACCTTTCTCCGATAAAATCCTACTGTCCAACTGCGCGAATTGGAATTATCCGAGGCGTCCGTGGTTTTAATTTGCATTCAAGAGCGACGTTTTAGCGTTTTCCATCGCTAACGCACGTCTGCAGTTGATCAATGAACGAAAACCAGTAAAAATTGAGGTTTTGCATGTCGTTTGCTAATAATGGTACAGACCCACTATGGCCATACTGTTGCAATATCGTTTACCGAGCTCAATGTACTGAATGTCAGAAATGGCCTAGAAAGTCACTCGCTGATAAATATTACTTCATGCTAGAAAATAAACGCAAGCGACAGATCAAATTTTCGTATTACGTAGTGTAGTCCACATCGTATACATGTCGTATTAGATGAAATTGTAAATTTTCTCTCACGGTTTGGGACACCGAAGAAGATGTAGTGACTGAATTTCCGAAGACACCGATATTACTAATGAATGTTTTTGTATTTTTGGATATATCGATGTATCTTTCTGCCAGAAAAGCAAGCACTGATAAGTGAATGACCCTTTTGTTCAAAGGTGGTACACGGGCATCAGCTGGACATAGATGTATGTGGGAATTTTTTCATGCCGTGTCGCTCAGTAACGGAGACTATTCTGTACTAATTAAAGTGTCCTTTTATTCTTTAGGGCCTTTTTGTGTGATTGAGCAAAATTACCGGATAGATCTAAAATGAGTCCACGATTTTCCCCGTATTAAATAGACCACGCAAGTACTTCTAAATTATATTGTTAGACATTTTGGCTGATTTTGAATAATTCCTATTGACCCAACTGCTTAAAACCCGGCGCCTCGGTGTGATCCGAATCCACACAGTAAGGGGAAGGCTTTTGTACAGCCAGCGTTCTAACCACTTGAGCTGCGAGGCCCCGCTGAACGACGTGAATTTAATCACAATTTGGGTCCAGTTACCCGCCCAACCTACTGCAACGTCTGGAATCCACCAAATCTGATACAGTAAGTTGACTGCCCAACCAGGACTTCCTAAGTAATTCACCTAGAATCCACCAGATGACTACTAAGCTCACGTAATTCATAGATATTTTGGCAGATTTTAAATAATTCGTATTGACCCGAATGTGTAAAACCCGCGCCTTAGTGGAATTTGAGCCCACGCAGTAGGGAGAAGGCTTTAATACAAACAACGCTCTAACCACTTTAGCTACGAGGCTCCGCCAAACGACGGGGACGAGAGCGAACTCCGTGGCTTCTTGCATACACCATAGACGTCGTTCTGATCCTCATCGTGAAGTACCGATTTTGTAAAAACATTTCTATCAAAACACTAAGTTCCACAGTACCCGCAGTTGCAGTGTTAGCTCATCCCACGCCCTGCATCTCCATATGTGCACAGTTTGTTTTTATAGGGTTTGCGGCCTCATCCTCTATAGACCGCCTGAGTCTAGTTGTATCATTGTTAATGCTTAAACGAGGCAGATTTCTCAGCCGTTCTATCGTATCACGAACCTGCTGGTTACAAAGAAACCTGAGTGGACAGAGCAACAAGTGTAAGAGTTGCAGACCCTGTCAGTTAGATAGGCAAACGAGTGGTCTATTTAGGAATGAGTGACGAAACGGCTGCGTCCTGATTGGTGTACATCAGGAACCAGCCTTCGGAAAATGTAGTCTGTCATCAGCTAATCGATACCTCCTGATTCTTGTTGGTTGGCGCCAGCAGTTTTTTGTCATTCAAGTAGTAACATTTAATGGAACTGCTATCAGATCTTTCGTGTTTTGTGTATGTTATTTCTAAATATCTTGGCGATTCCCAGAGTGTGAAAAGATAATTACACACAAATTGTAACTGCAGGGGGAATAGACTCTGCATAGAGTCATGAATTGTTTTCTACAGACTCTGCCTCTGCTTCTTATCGTCTGTATGGATTTAGCTGTCAAATTGTTAGTGCTTAAAATAAGTAGTGCTCACCAGATGCATTCCCTGACGCTGATGCTTTTTTTTAATAAACCGGCTCGCATTTCTTTCATAATACCCTTCCACACGTATTTCGTTGTGCAAGTGAACTAAATAACGAAATGGAAATAAAAACTAAGCTCAGTCAGTTCTATTTATATCAGCAGACGCCTTTAACCAAGTTGACATTCATATGACTATCGAGCTGCTCATGTATTATGTGTGGTATGTGTCGTCTGACACAGCGTTCGTTGTCGCCAGTAGCAAGCTGGCGGGCGGACAGAATGGGATCGAGTGAGATCCTAACCACAACAGTGAGGGTCAAACGCCCACTTAATATAGTGATTGTTGATAGAAGCGAACAGGCGGGCGCGAAGCTCTCCGATCGGCTCGATGGTGGGAAATCTTTGCCCTTCGCGAGTCGTCTACATATGCGCACGTTCGATTTCCGTACAGGTGTCTCAACAAAAATTTGCTGCCCAAGTGTGTTTCCTACAAACCTCCGCTCAACACAGAGCTGGCGAGATGCGCAGTACTTCAGCACGGCCGACGAACGATCCGAGTGCTCCTTCAAGACTGTCACTCACGGATTCGCAAATGCCGTCAGAGTATTGACCAAGAGAAAGCAAGGTGCTGCGAGTTCATGAGCGGAGACGGCACAAAACTGCTTCAGCAGAGGCTGGCCGAACGAACCCGCGAACATAAAGCAACACGCAAAACAGCGCTAGAGAGCAAATTTCGTAAGCTGCCCTCTCCAATGTCATCCAAGAACGACAAACTGGTGCACGACATGTCGTCAGAGGAACTGACGGAGGAACTAATGCAGGTTTTACGGCATGAGGCCTCATTCAACACAGCCGATGCCAAACCTGCCAACATGATCGCAGCAGTGGAATCAATCCTCAGCCAGACGGGGGCGACAGACGAAACGAAGAACCTCATTCGACACCAAGTGTCCTCGCTCCAAATGGCTTTCCAAGGTCGAGCGCGATGCACTTAAGGAACTCACGGTCGACAACGACCTCGTTCCCGCGCCTGCGGACAAGGGGTGTTCGACGGTCGTATTGAACAGAACAGAATACAATCAAAAAGCCAAGAGCTTGTTGGAGGATCGTCAGTCCTCTGTCCCATGCGAATCCAACCCCATGAAAACGCTGACACGCGAGATTAACGCGACGCTGTTGGCAATGGAGAACTCAGGTGCAATATCGCCAATAGACAGACGCATGGCGAGAGCACAAGAAACGGCCCTAGTCCGATTCTACGGTCTCCCAAAAGTGTACAAAGAGGGCGTTCCTCTCCAGCCTATCGTTTCACTAAAGGGCGGTCCAACTTCAGGACTGGAAAAGTGGCTGTTCCAACGTCTCATGTTTCTGACCTCCGATTCGAATACCACAGTCAGCTCGTCAACGCAATCCCTGGAGAAACTTAAAGGAGTAAGTCTCCTGCCAAGCGATATCATGGTTTCCTTTGATATCACGTCCCTTTTTACTCCTATCCCGCAGGACCTGGCAGTCGAGACAATCGAACTACTCCTACGAGAGAAGTACGACGAAACGGAGAATCGCCTCGGACACGCCTTATTCATCCAGCTCCTGAGGTTCTGATCAGGAAGTACTTTACGTTCGACGGAACAATTTACGAGCAGGTGAATGGAACACCAATGGGTTCGGCTGGGCTAACTTCTTTTCCGACATCACATGCCGAATGTCTGTGCTCAGTATGTAGATGACACCTTCGTCATCATCGGACGAGATCAGGTGCTGAAATTTAATGAACACTATCGAAACAAGCGAAGATGGAAGTTCAAGGAACTAGTTAATCAGAAGAAGAAGAAGCCGTCACCGGAACAAGGTCTTTATTCGCCTGATGTTTCGGCTTCTCACTTGAATGCATCGTCAGATACAGCAGCAGAAAATGGTGACTCGTGCACAGGAAGTTGCAGTATTTATTGGATGCAGTCGCTATGCTACCGCATACCTAAAGCAATTAATCGCGCTCCCCTTTATGAAGAATCGTTGCCCGCTGGTACGCTAATTGCTTGCTGGCCGGCATGCAAGTTGTTAATTACCGAAATGTCATCACCCGTGTTGGATGCTGGCGTGATTGCTCGGCCATCTGGCTCAGCGGCTTGCTCGCGCCCCGAGTGGCCAATTGCCTTGGCCAGCCTATGCCTCAGCACGGAGTATGGAGTGGGCATGTCGTGGCTCTTGTTGATAGATTGAGGTCCCGTGAGCCATGACTCAAGCACCACGCGGCTCACACGATTATCTCCTCTCGCGAGAATTTTGGCCTCATCGAACTTGGATGTGTGGCCGGGTCTCGTCGAATGGGCCGCGACCTGAGAGTTGGCGTCATTCATCCTTACAACTGCCGCGTGTTCGGCAATTCGCATTCGAAGCAGTCTTCCAGTTTCGCCGACGTAGTTGCTTTGCCCGCAACCGCACCAGATCCGGTAAACGACTCCAGATGTTTCATGCCGTGGCAGTGGGTCTTCTGGTCTCATCACCTGACGCCTCATGGTGGCCTCCGGTCTGTGTGCAACTCCAACCCCAAACGGTGCAAGAAGGCGGCTAACGGCCTCGGAGACGTTCTTGATGCACGGTTCTGTCTCTCGTCTCGTTTGCGCATACACCGGTTGACGAAGTTGCGCGGGTAACCATTTTCTCTGAAAACCTGTCGAAGATATTGGAATTCGGCAACCTTGTCTTCCGGTTCACTGCAGTGCGTCTAAACACGCCGATATAGCATTCCTACTCAGCTGCGCTTGCGGCTGATTGGGTGGTTACTGTTGAGGTTCCGTATTTGCGTCGTGTTCGTCGCTTTTCTGAACACTATGGTCTTTATGTAAGCACAATCTTTTGGGCAGACTAGGACATGAAGGAATGTCAGCTGGTTATTTTCTTCTTCCTCCATCGTAAAGTGTATGTCCGGGAAGACGCTGTTGAAACGTCCTTTGAACGTTAGAACCTGATCCCGTTCGATGACGACGAAGGTATCGTCCACACACCGAGTCCAGAATTTCGGTCTGTGGTGTTGGAAGACCAGCGACTCCAACCTCTGTAGGACAGCCTCTGCGATGAATCCCGAGATCGGCTTTCAAATCGAATGGCGGCACACTCGACGAGACCCGGCAATGTTTTCAAATTTCAAAAGACCGAAATCCCGCACGGAGTGGCAACCGCGTGAGCCGCAACTGCTTGAGTCATGGTTCTCTGGTCCGCAATCCTTTAATAAGCACAACGACCTCCCGGTGCCATAGTCTGTGCTGAGATTTTACCTGGGCAGGGGAATCAGTCACGTGGGGAGGGCGGGGACGAGCGATTATCACAGTGACAGTAAGCCAATTTGCCGAGCAATCGTCACACTAGCATCTAGAAAGGATGACGAAATCACGGCGATTAACGATTCGGAATCAGACGCATCAATTACGACCCCAGCGGTGATCGCGAGAGCTGTTAATTACAGTGAACATACGGAGCCACGGCAGCCACGTGCTATAAACACTGCACTTCCTGGGTCCTCATCCCCTTTATCTGAGACCGTCTCTGATGATGGATTCGAGTGAGAACCCGAAACGTGAGGCCAATAAATTTCCCGTCATCACATCTTCGTCTCCAAATACAGTTATTCCTAGCCAAACAGGCAATCCTTAAAACTGCCTTTCACGTCAGTAGATTAAGTTCTGTTAAGCAACCTAATACATCGTGATCAAATCTTTTTGAAGACGATCTTCACACTGTGCTTTCTAAAAATTTATTATACTCGTACTACGAACTTGCGTGTCTTGATTTAATTCAGATCACCAAGCTCTTATTAAAATCTTACTGTGGAGTACAGACAGATAATAATATGTTTAATTCAGGATCTCGGAGCTTAGACATTTTAGTATGCTATTCTACAATTAGGTTTGGGACTGGTTCATATACCCTATCCTACATACCATACTGAATTGTTAAAGTGGCCTCGCTTTTAGGAGAAAACGGGGTAAAGTTGTCTTTGTTTTGACTACGACCTCGGCCAATTCTACACTGTTTGACGTTAGAGTTACTAAACAAGCGGTATTACAATGCCTTGATGGTTTAAAAAAAAATAAAGGATACGTTATACGTGATTAAAGTTTAGAGCATGAACACTCAGATAATCTAGAGGAGCCCGAAACTGTACGCGGATGTGTCGGGCCCCACAGTCCCATAAAATGAAACGTACATTGGTAAGACCAACTCATGGAGTATCGCAATCAAAATCTGAGCGAGCAGTATATCATGCTTTTGACGTTTTTATTCGTGTTTTTTAAAATGACTTGGGACATACTAAACGTTTGATTGAAGAGGAATTAAAATAATGTTGTCCGTATTTTGACAACATTCGACCTTTTTTTGATACCCACGTAATTTCCTGCATTATGAAAATTTGTAAGTAAAAATTCTAGGTTTTTGCTCACCGTGCTCTAATCGAGGATTTTCAAACACAAGAAAAATATGAAATTAATCCCGTTTGCAAATAGAAATGGCGATTTTAATTCCATACAACTCAGGTGAGAGTGGATTTGACAACTTGCAATTTTTTAAATAAAACGTGCAAAAATCAACTTTTAAAATTTTCTACCAGACGAGACTGATATGGTTGTTCTACGTAAGATGCCCGCTTTCGATAAAACACTTTAGTCCGCACTCCAAGCTTTTCACGACATTGGCCTTTTCTTAAATTTTATAACGCTTACTGTTTAGCAACGTTTGTTGCATTTCTCTCTGGTAAGAAGTATCTTTGTCGACAGCTAGTCTATGGACGACCGAATTGGTTCGTGGAATACTACTTGCTGCAGTTAGCAAGCGACGGCCAAAATTCCTTAGACGCGCCGAAAAATTGTCAGGTATCCTTGAGTAAATTATCGAGTAGTTCCGAAAGTGGCCCGTTACCAGTTTATGTAAACGCTTTGTGGCTGCATTCAGTTGCATACGCATTGTTATAAGTTCTATCATCAAATTTTAAAGTCATTTCTGCATGGTGTTAGTAGTGTGTGCTATTGATATTCAATAGCGAATAATACAGCGACAGTTCATTTGAATTAGAGCTGTCACATGATCTCAAATCCGATATGAATGTAGGTTACAGAGCCGACCCTATCGCTGAAACGGAATGGAAAATATTGCGTGAAGTCTATTAGTCAACAATTTTGGGTGCCTTCACCACGCAATATGCTTGGTCGTCAACGATGGCGATTTGATTTGCACTTTGTTTACTAAGAATAACTGCCTACATCCAGTCTCCGATAGGACCAAAGCCATAGCCATATACTCTAGTCGTCGTTTTTCCAGGTAGAATGTTTTACGCCGAATCATGCTCATATTACTCACATCGAAACAACTTGGCATGGCAACATTGAGAAATATTATATCCAGATTTAGTAAAACGTGAAGAGGACAATATTATTTCCAAATGAATTTGAGCTCGAGAATACCATGCTTTCTGCTCCTCACGCTCGATGTAGGGAAAGTGAGGATTAATAAGTGTGTTTGGAGGGTGTTCTTGTCAATGTTGCTATCTTTTACACATAAGGAAGATATGATTTTAGACGTCAAAAGACACCAAACCGTGTACATGTATGATTGCCAAAGACTTCTTGCGGTGTAGAACGCAACTTTCTTCCAAACAGCACGCCGACAGCATAAAGGAATAGCAATCTCAATTCAATACACATTATGGATATTTTCAGGCTCGCGCTAGAGTTGCATTAAAAATGTCAAAAATTTGGGCTTGGTGAAATATGAGAGTAAACCCGGTATCTGTTGAGCAAAATGTGTGCCGATGGTTTCCTGACAGTTAAAGTTCCCGTTCTATATGCGAAGGCCAGATGATGTCCAATGTGATCATACCAGAGTTTTTTTCAACGGGATCTTTTTTGCGGTTTTCAAATGTTAATGACACTGCTCATGACTACGCTCAAAGGTAGAAAATTCACGCTGTGACCGACGTTCGGAAGATTGGCGAATGCAGTTTTCCTTCATGTTGTCCGCCAAAATCGAACTATTTCCAGCACTGAGCGACGGATTTAAATCCTTGACGTAGTAACAGAGTCGAACACGGCTTAAGAGGCCTCATAGGTAAGAGTACAAGTGGGTCTCTATGTTTGCCATGGAAATGAAGTGCATTATATTTAGTGTTGGGGGTTTGTGACAATCCTGCAGAAAGCACATTGTTACGCTTGCGGAGCTTAAGACGTTCTTTTTTGAAAGGTCTTTGAAGTGCGCGGGGTTATGCCTTAGGTGGTTTGCCAAAATGGGCAGATGGCGTAAACTGTCACCAAATGCATCGCCATTGCCTGTACATGAGCATGTCCTGGCTTGTGGGTGCTTTAGACTTAAACGGATAAAAGATGTGTCACTGAATGATGCTTTTTGATTGATAGTCCCCATAAACTGTTTTCATTTTAAGTTTAGCGGTGATTAGTGCCAATAGTTTAAAACGTCTTTACAATCATGAGGATCGCTGCTAAACATTTATTTAGAACAAAGCTCAATGCTTATAAAATCTGACTTTAAAACCTCCGTCTCAGTATTTTTACCGATTAAAAAGCCAGAAGTGTGTTCTACCATTATGTTGGTCT